AGGGAGGCACCCTTATAATCCACCTTCCGCCTGGGTTACTTCCCTCCCTTAATAGATTATTAGTGCCTCCCCTGCATTGCCCCTCGCCCCATCCAGGCACAGGACGATTCAGATTAACAGCTGAGTCTGGCTGAGGCATGTAGACAGTCCACCGCGGAGGACTCTGGGCAAGCAGCACGAAGGCTCACTGTCTGCCACCCGGCTCCCACTGATGGCCAGCAGAGAGGATTGCAGGCAGGCTTATCTAAAGCACTATCCCCCATTTGTCCAGACGTCCGGTTCTGTTCATCAGCACAGCACCCACTGTCCTCATATCACCGGTCTGTGTATCTGTTCTACTACGCCATGTAAAGCCGTGTTCTGTCTTTTCAACCACCCATGTAGTCAATGAGCACTTGTCAGTCTCCAACTGTGTTAGGCACATGTGTAGAGATGAAACTCTAGCCTCAGTGAGATTCCACTTCTCTCTTTAAGGAGTTTGTAGTCCTAGAGGATTCAGACACTAAGCAAACAGCAATGGCACCATGTGGTGAGTGTAATTGAGATATTCTCAGAATTGGGGCATACAGAGGAGGGAGAACCTAACTGTGGTGGCTGTTGGGAGGAGACCAGGAAGGCTTCCCAGAACAGGAAGACACCAGGCTTGCAAAGAGGAGATGTCTAGGCAAAAGGAATAGCCCATGCATGAGCAGTGAAGTGCACCGAGGGAACGAGTAGTCTGTGTTACCGGAGCAGAGAATCTGTAAGAAAAGTGGCAGCAGATGAAGCTAGAGACTAAGGTGAAAGTCCTCATCTGTCAGGCCATGGGTTTATATTTTATCTTGAAGGCAATGGGCAGCCTTTGGAATATTTTCAGAAAGATTAGGTTTCCATTCGTTGTAGGTCAGTTTCTAGAGAGGCAGTATGGGGAACAGAATGAAATTACAAGAAGGCAAATTAGGAAGTCATTGCAATAGGCTAGGTGAGAAATGGCAAAGCCTGAACCAAAGCAGTGGTGATGGGGATAGACAGAAAGAAAGGATTTCAAAGAAATTCAGAAGACAGAATATCCAGCATTGATTGGAGACAGGCTGGAGGTTAGCAGCAGGGTCATCTATACAACCTGAGATTTTTCTGCCCAGGCCACTGTGTGTATATGATGCTTTAACAGAGATTAGAAACACAGGGAGAAGAACCAGTAGGTGGCATGGTGGCTAAAGCACTAGATTCCCACATGGCTGACCACAGTTTGAGTCCCAGATCTGGTAGCTTGCTTTCTCACTTTCTCTTTCTCTCTGTCTCTTTCTTGTGAGTGCATTGCCCTGTAGCAAATTTTTTTAAAATAATAGTAATGATAAATAAAATTTAATAAAGACTTCTTTTTTTAAAAAAAGAAAAGAAAAAAAAACACAGAGAGATGAATTAATTTAAAAGAAGTCAATCAGTATAGTTTGAAATATGTTCATTTTGAGATGCTCCTTGAATATCGACTTGAAAAAAATAAATCAGTAGTTAATATGAGCCTGAAGTTCTAAATGAGGGACAAGATAGAAATATAAAAACTTTCCTGCATTAGATATAAAACTTAATTAAAGATATAATCAGTACTATTGTAGGTTATTCAGTAATAAATCCCTATAGAAAATTAATACCAGAAAGAAAAAGAAAAAGAAAAAAAGCTGTTCAATCAATCAGGACACTATCTTCCACCAGAAAAAGGAAATTTTGTAATTCCTCATGTTTACTTTTTTGCATTTGCCTGCCAGGGAGCTCAGTTATATTCTTTGCTCAATTGTAATAATATACTAAGCCTTGTAACTTAGCACACTTGCCTTCTTGCTATTTTTATGACTTTGGGTATTCATTTATAGCTTAATATCCCCAATGTATGTCCCACATTGTAAGTTACCTCTCCTCTCTGGAAATAAACAAGTCTGTATATATTTTTTTATTTTATTATTTTATTTTATTTTTGGAGAGATTTTCACCATAGGGCGCATGCGCTTGCCAGACAGACAGAGAGAGACATAGAGACAGAAAGCGAGAAATCACCCCCCAGGGAGGATGGTCACACCGCAATCCCTTCTCCTCCATTCTCCTCTCGGGATCTTGGGCACGCACGCACACGCGCCCGGCGTGAGTTTTAAGCCACCGGGTCCGGGACACGAACCGCGGTCGACCACGTGGGAGTCCAGCGACATAGCCATTACGCTAACTGCTGGTTCCCTGTATATTTTCACTTGATATGATCAAGTTTGGATCTATTTGCTTCAAATATTTTTATGCTCTTAAGAAATGTTTTTTCGATCTATTAATGTGACTATTTTTCTCCAGACATAGGGGGGAAAATTAAAAAAAAAAAATTAAAATGTCCTCCTCTGAAACAGAATTGATCCTCAGGGACCAATAGGAACCAAGGGAGGCAGCAGCTTGTCGATCATCATAGCAAGCTAGAACCGCTGACTCCAAAGAGCATCCAAAAGTTGTGAAGAGCGAAGTCGTAGCCGATGAGCTCCGATTCAGCCCCTCTCTTACTTTTAAGCCAAATAGAACACACTTTACTCCCAAGATAAGGCAGGGCCCTGACAAAAAATAGCATCACAGGAGATTTGGAGATTCATGTCAGGTGTTTAAGGGAGACCCTCAACCTTGAGGAAAAATAAATAAATAAAGAGTATGGGGAACCAGCAGTTAGCGTAATGGCTATGTCGCTGGACTCCCACGTAGTCGACCACGGTTCGCGTCCCAGACCCAGTGGCTTAAAACCCACGCCGGGCGTGTGTGCGTGCGTGCCCAAGATCCTGAGAGGAGAATGGAGGAGAAGGGATTGCGGCGTGACCATCCCACCTGGGGGGTGATTTCTCGCTTTCTGTCTCTCTGTCTCTGTCTGTCTGGCGAGCGCACACGTCCTATAGTGAAAAACCTCTCAAAAAAAAAAATACAAGATTAAAAAAAAAAAAAGAGTATGTAATAAAAATAGCAATTTTAAGAAAATGAAAATTTAAAATGTAAAAAAATAAAAATGGTAATTTTTGTTATTTAAAAATGTCCTCACAGCTATTCATCTTAATCTTCTTCAATGTTCTGACAGGTAGGTTAGGGCAGAAATTGTGGTTATTCGTCCTCTATAGACACATGCATTCTGGGAGGAAAAGAATACTGGGCTGGGCTCACTTCTCTCCACTGGAGATCATTCTCAGCTATGAAAGAAGAATAACAAAATAAAAACGATGCTCCCCAATCCTCAGGCAGCACTGCCAGATTCTAGAGCAAGGTTATCTCCATCCTAATTCATGACCTTCACAACCATCCTCTGAGGTAAATCGGAGAGAATTTACTCCCCTCATTTCACACATTTGAAACCTGAGTTTCAGGTAGGTACCCTGATCATTGTGCTTCGTCTCAGGTGTCTTTGCAGAGTTGAAAGGGGGAACGCTGAGGCTCTGTGCTGCTGAGATGTACCCACAGTGCCTACAGCTTGGAATCCTCTCGAGCTTTCAGGAGGAGGCCTTGCTTCAGGCTTCAACAACTCATTTACTGGCATAGTAAGATGCTAATGATAGAAACCACCGAATGGACAGTTTTAACTAATCTTACTTCCCCCTGCACTAATTAATGCAGCCACTTTGTGCCACAAAAGCAGTAGGATCTCATCTTTCCTTCTGGTAGGATTCCTCTGCCTCTGGTTTCATCAGAAAAGAGGCTCTAGAACAGCCAGTCAATAAAGCAACAAGCTAAACAAGTGTTAAATGAAGCAATGAAATTCAGAACATTGAGAATCAGGAGGTCTCATCAGGCCAAGGTCAAGAGATGTTTTTTGCCGTGTGGTCTCATGCAAGTCACTTTACCTCTCTAGGTCTTAGTTCATCTGCAAAATGGGTCAAAATTGAGCCTGTGCTACCCCACCCCAGTAGACTAGTTATGAAGTTCAAAGACCATAATGGAATGTTACAAGTGTCTTGTAACTAAGGTCTCAGAAGGTGCAGTATACTTCATCCTATTTTTATGGAAATTTCAAACCTGGAACTCCAGGGACAGAGAAGTAGCACAAGAAAAGCACAGGTCTCCTGGGACATGTTGGTCATTCCCTGAAGCCTGCATACTGGCAAAAAGGGAAAGGCCGTGGTAATATGCACAACTGCAGATTGACCCCTTCCACATTCTTTGAGGTTGAAAAGTCATCAGAAAGTACAATCAGAAACTCGTTTTAGGGCCCAGCAGCTGGAATAGTGGTTAGGGCACTGCACTTCCACAAGGTCAAGTACAGTTTGAGTCCTGGATTCAGCAGCTTGATACTCAAGCAAGGCACACATATGTGCGTGCCCAACATCCCAGGAGGAGAATGGAGGAGAAGGGATTTCAGCATGGCCATCCCCCAGGGGGGTGGTTTCTCACTTTCCCTCTCACTGTCTCACTCTGTCTCTCTGGCAAGCACATGTGCCCTATGGCAAAAACCTTAAAACACACACA